CCGGTCTAAACTCCTCCTATGATCACGGTCTGAATCTACCCCACCCTTCGTCGAGCACCATCAATCGTTTATATTCCTAGATCGACACTGACCTATGATGATTGACGAACACCTCTCAGTCTGCCCGACCTCAAGTCGTCCAAACAACCAAGAACTGACCAGACTACTGCGCGTAACCTACCTCCTCCTCGGACCTAACGGCTAGTTTTGGGAACACATACCCGGTATGACCTAGTCTTGGAAGTTACCTATTTATGCGGACCCGCATATCTAGGCCCAAAAATAGGAACCAATGGCCATGTGCTAAGGATATTATATAAACCCTGACATATGTGAAGGCCTGGTATCGAATATCCACTATTCAACACAAAACCCTAATACTTTGCTTATATCTCTTTGTTCCCACACTTACTTGATCGTCAGAGTGCCTTACAGGTACAACCCCGTTTTTTCCTCCTCGACATTCCAGCCTGACAGAAGATCATCATCCGGCTACCTTACAGGTTCTGATCAATCGGAAAGATCAGTGGCGTCGTCTGTGGGAAACTATCTTCCCCATTTTCTGTTCTACAAAATCTATGACCAAAGATCCTCCTCATTCAACAATCATGGTTGACCGTGATGATCACCATCCATCTGGAAAGACTGCACTTTCCCCAGCGTATAAGACCGACGAAAGTCAAGAACATCCTCACCTCGAGGATAACCTCGCCTTCCGCGACGGCCAGACTGTGTCCCCAGATTCAGTCGACGCCCAACATGATGACCATCAATTCTTGGACAAGAACCATCCTAAGAACCCCACCGAGGAACTACTGTAGATCCTATAACCAATTCACATTCCTCACAATGCTGACCCGGCCATTGCAGCATTGCTTGCAACTATATACCAGACTAACACCCTTATCCTGCAGCAGAATAAATAGATATGGGCCTGGGAGAAGAAGCATTCAAAGTCTCCTCCTCGGAGACCCCGACGACGAGATTCCCCTAGCATATCTCCACCAAGACGTGGTCATCCGCCAAGAAAGGAGAGGCACACTAGTTCTTTCTTCAAGAAACGCAACCGCACACCTCCCACGAAAGACAAAAACTCTCCATCCTCCAAGAAGAAGAAGAGCAATTTCCAAGTTGATCGCGGTCGATCACCATCTCCCAAGCCAAGACATCAACGGAAGAGTCTTTCCCTCCAACGAGACAACTATGCTCGACGGGGAAGGAACTATCACCCCCCATCTCTATATCCCGTGGAAAGCGACGATGACGAGCCCCGCAGCCTGTTATCAAGAGAGATTACAGAGGCTTGGCTCCTAATCGACATGGAAAAGCCACCCCCGCTAGGAACATATGATGGTACGGCCGATCCTGATGAACACACAGAGAATATTGACACCCTCCTCGACTACCGAGGGGTCAGGGGAGCTATCAAGTGCAAACTGTTCCCAATGACCCATAGGAAAGGAGCAATGTCTTGGTACAAAAGTCTCTCATATGAATCTATTACCTCCTGGAAACAGTTGGGGAGGATGTTCTCGAGGCACTTCACAGCCTCCCGTAGACATCCAAAGTCAGAGGCTTCACTCGAAGAAATCATCTAGGGCAGAGATGAGTCTCTGCGACCATACATTGAGCGCTTCAACAAGGAAGCAGTACAAGCCTCCACGACCGACACCATGTGTTGTACCCCAAAATTTTCCCTCTCATTTATCAAGATTTTCTCACAAGATCTCTTTAACTCAAGACTGGATTAGTGTTTGATCAGCTTAAGACATCTCATCTTACACTGATGACCCAAAATTAGGGTTTGAGTTTGCCTAAGGATTTTTGGACTATCAATGCTTCATATGACTTTCAAACATCATTATGGACCCCTAAGTTTACTCATGACAAGTTGCAAGCCTTCAACCACATTTTTGATCAGTCAATTGGACAGTTGACCTAAAAATCAACTGTATTGGGGAAAAAGTCAACCATGGCCAATTCACAATCAAACTTCATAAATTTTGATCCACATTAACATTTTAGACTCATATATATCATTTGATCAAGTTGGGACCACAATTCCTCAAGAAATTTGATCAAATCATCAAAAGGGCAAAATGGTCAAAATTAGGGTTTTGACTGAGAAAGGGTAATTTCTGATTTTTGACCTAGCAAGTGACCAATTTATTTGAAGCTTGATTTCAAGGGTTAAATTTTATCATCTTGACCTAATAACATGGTTCAAAACATTTCAATTTCATTGGATTGACAAATAAAATTTGCAGTCAACTGATCAAAAGTCAATTGTATACTGAAAAGTCAAACTTTGACTTTTTGGTCAAAATCAAGTGCCAAGGATCACAATTCATCAAAGCATGTCAAAATGTGAAACTTGTTCATCAAGGAATCAAAGATTGAAGATTTGGTTTTGAAATTTGAATTTTTCTTAACTTAGAAATTTTTTCTAAGTATAAACAATTTCTTATTTTTTCTCAACTTTAAGCCAATTTTCCACCATGATACAAGATGATTCAAATAAAGTTCCCTAGATGAAAGTTATAGACCTCCATGAAATCTATAACATTTCTTCACACATTTATTTCCTAAAGATGCTTGGATCTCAAGATACAATTTTGTGAATACATGCCCATGAACCAAAATAACTTAGTGAAATTTTGCCCTAATTTAGGCTGGTTTTTGACCCAACTTCATGGCAATTTTTCACCTAGTTCCAAGAGGAATATTGAAATTCATTTCAAAGATGAGTTATAGAGAACATTGCAAGATTTTCAAAATATCAAAGAACTGCTTGAGATCATTTTTGAGTAGAGAGAATCGAAGAGATGAAGTTGGCAATTTCTCACTTTGATTTCAAGCCATTTCATGAAGAACAAAACTCAAATCTGAACCTATGTTGCCTAATTCTTTCTTTACAGGTCTCAAACACGTTTCTCACTTCATAATTTAATGCTTACTCAGTTGACAAAGCCTTAATCCAAGCCCAAGGGTCTTTGTCCAAGCTTTAATTCCATAAATGACACAAAGTTGCCATTGCCATTTTGGAAAAGCTTAACTTTTGCAACTTTTCAATTCTTGAGCATTGAACATGTCTTCTCTGCACACACAAGTCCTACAAAACTAAAGCAATTTGTATAGAGCTTGTACCAACTCCAAGCAGGCCAGTACAAGAATGTAGAGACTTGTCTCTTCACTTTGCTTCAAAAGCAAGAAAGAGTGCAAAAAGGCTACAACTCAGAAATCTGATGAGGAGTGGATTTGAAACTTTCTCCATACTAATACACAAACACATTACAACTTAGAACATGATTGCTAAAGTCCAGAAATACTCCAAAACTCCATCTCACCAAAAACCTGTCAAAAACTTGCAGTTTGAGCATAAGCATAGCAATCCAAAAATTTGCTCGTGCGTTTCAAGTTTTAATCATCCAAACACTTTAACTACCTCATATCTAAGTGTTCCAGGCCATCATCCCTCCACTGTAACACCTCCTTCTCCATCAGCCATTTTTGTTTTTCAAGCTTGCAGGTTGACTTGGATAGAGAGTTTCAGATACTTTCAAAGTAAGGTAAAGATTGGAACATACTCAGGGAGGTTCAAGCAAGCTAAAGGAATCTTCAGCCCTTCATAAATCTCACTCAAACTCCATACACGATCTCAGCTGAAAGAGATAAGAACTCCAACTTTTATCTCTTCATACAGGTATCCATTGGCCACGATTTGTGAACGGAAAATGTAGATATTATTATGCTGAAGCTAACCATGTGCATAGAATTCATTTATATTCATTGTGTATAGAGAATTTTAGAGTTCAATTTTCTGCAAAAATTAGGTTTAAAATTAGGGCCTTTAAAATTCATTTTGATCTTTGATTGTTAGCTTCCATAAGTTACATGTCTGAAATCGTGAGAAAAAGTACTATCATTTTCATGTTTGAAGTTTCCATTTTCATGGAGAAATGAGAGAGATATGCTTGGTCCGGATAGCTAGAGGAAGAAGACGAAGTACAGGGCCAAGGAAGCTTTTTGTGTTATGTTTTTCTTGTTTCACATAAACTAACGGATGTACAGTCACCCTAGTGGCAAGGCAGCGCGCTGAGAATGCCAATGTCATGGGTTCGAGCCTTGGTGCCTGCCTTTTGCATATTTTTTCATTTTTTGCTATTCTCTCACCTTTTTTTGCAGTGCTGGGCTTTGTCCTTTGGGCTTACTCTTTTTTCTAATGTTTACATGCTATTTACTCCGGATACCCCCTGGCCCATACATTTTATTTATTTGTTTTATTTCCTTTTTTTGTTTTATTAAATATTTTCTTTAATACATAAAATCATGAAAAATATAAATATTATAAATATTGCATTTTTGACTTATTTTATTTTATTTTCACATAAAAAATATATTTTATTTTAACTATATATTAATTATTTTCTTAAATAAACTTGTAAATATAAAAAAACAGAATTAGGTTAATTATTTTATTCTTTTCCATTCATACTTGTAAATATTTATTTTGACATATAAAAAGACTAAATATTTTCATAAATATTATTTATTATTTTCAATATAAAAAATACACAAAAAATAATACTTAAAGAGCTTTATTTTCTTTTAAATTAGAAATTAGGGTTAGCCATTTTTCAAGAAATAATTTCATTTTTAATATTTTTAGGATTAGGTCAAAGTTCTTTTGTATATGAAAAAAATAAAACAAAATCTTTTTTTGCATATACATATCATTGCACATTTAATTTATATTGTATCCTAGTTATTCAAATATTTGTACAAATTCGATTTGGTTGTAATAGCTTAATTAGATTTACATTATTGCAAATCCCTATTCACAATTTGTATTCCCCCCTTCCATAAAATATTGTAATAGCGTAGTGATCTTTAAATTACGTAATTTACCGCTTTCACATACTATGCTAGTAATTAGGGTTTGAATGACAAGATAAAAACAAATCAAATATAAAACCCTAAATCCAAGACAAAATCAAAGCATGAAAATAACACACTTGCACACAAGCATCCTTAGGGTTTCTCCACTTGAATACAAAAGGGTTCCTTGTACATTTAAAGGCAACAATATTGTATACCAAATCAATGAAAATACCATAAACCCTGGCTACTTCGCCATCAATATTCTTTATGTTGGAGGAACATATGACGTCACTGTTGTTCAGATATGGAAGGTATAATACTTATATTATAAATTTAAGTTTTTTACGAATTTAAAACTGCATCATGTGTATAACATTTGTCCGTATGAGACTTAAAATTTTCTCTAATGATATTAATCGTGTGAATGATGCAGAAAGAACAACACATATGGGAGGCCATGCGTAGATCTTATGGCGCTGTATTTGACTTTGCTAACCCACCCGAAGGTGAAATCCGATTGAAATTTCAAGTGAGTAGCAATGTTGGGTCCAACTGGGTGGTGTCACAGTTCACAATACCCGCGGGTTGGAAGGCTGGTGCTACTTATTCCACCAAAATTCACCCTTATTAATTGTTTGTACATAAAAACAGTTTAAAGTCCCATAAACTGTTGTTTGTTGTTGATGCTTTTCAAAATAGGAACTAAAATTATGGATTTGTGTGACTTTACTCCATGTGATACTAAATAATATTGGAGTAACAATCAATAAAATAATTAGTAGTACATTTGTACTCTATTAATACCTTTATATTTTAATTTCATTCTTAGACATGTGTTTATATTATTCTATTATACAGATAGAACCGATGTATACATAAATCTATTACTAATTACTTTAACTCTTGAGGGTAACCTAAAAGATAAGTACATATCTTGATTAATCAAGTTAACTTACAATCCTTCATGCCTCTCATTATAAGAAAATTTGTAAACCCCGACTACTTTGCTATCATTATTCTTTATTGTAGAACTATGTAATAACTAGTTGGAAAAGATTATAAAATTTTAAACTTCCCATATTTTAAGATGATCCTCTTAAATTTGTTGGTAAATTCGTCTTAGTGAAAAGAAAAATGTTCTGGACTGACCCGACAGTCAGAGTGGGTCTGGTCTAAACTCCTCCTACGACCACAGTCTGGATCTCCCCCGCCCTTTGTCGAGCACCATCAATTGTTTGTATTCCTAGACCGACATTGATATATGATGATTGACGAGTACCTCTCAGTCTGCCCAACCTCTAGTCGCCAAAATAACCAAGATCCGACCAGACTGCTGCCCGTAACCTACCTCCTCCTCGGACCTAACGGTTAATTATGGGCACACGTACCCGGTATGACCTAGACTTGGAAGTTACCTATTTTTGCGGACCCGCATATCTAGGCCCAAAAATAGGAACCATTGGCCATGTGTCAGGGGAATTATATAAATCCTTACATATGTGAGGGCCAAGTATCGAATATCCACTATTCAACACAAAACCCTAATACTTTTCTTATATCTCTTTGTTCTCACACTTACTTGATCGTCGGAGTGCCTTGCACGTACAATCCCCTTTTTTCCTCCTCGATATTCCAGCCCGACAGAAGATCATCATCCAGCTACCTTGCAGGTTTTAATCAACCAGTAAGATCAGTGGCGTCGTCTGTGGAAACTATCTTCCCTATTTTCTGTTCCCCGAAATCTGAAGACCAAAGATCCTCCTCATTCAAAAATCATGGTTGACCGTGATGATCACCACCCATCATGGTTGACCCATCAAGAACATTCTCACCTCGAGGATAACCTCGGCTTCCGCGACGGTCGGACTTCGTCCCCAGATTCAGTCGACGCCCAGCACGACGACCATCAATTCTTAGATGAGCAGCATCCCAAGAACCCCATCGAGGAACTGTCAGAGATCCTGCATCCAATTCCCATTCCTCACAATGTCGACCCGGCCATTACAGCATTGCTTGCTACTATCAACCAGACTAACACCCTTATCCTGCAGCAGAACAAAAAGATATTGGCCTGGGAGAAGAAGCATTCAAAGTCTCCTCCTCGGAGACCCCGACAACGAGATTCCCCTAGCATATCTCCATCAAGATATGGCCATCCACCAAGAAAGGAGAGGCACGCTGTTTCTTTAGGTCAATTTGTAGTAAGGTGATTGATCTTGAGATCTTACCAACATTGCAAAAAGAAATTGTTATTACTTTATGCGAGCTTAAAATGTATTTTCCTCCCTCATTTTTGACATAATGGTACATCTAGTTGTTCATCTTGTGAAAGATACACAGTTGTGCGGACCAGCTTATATGAGATGGATGTACCCTGCCGAACATTATATGAAAGTAATAAAAGGGTACGTGAAAAACCGAAGTCGTCCAGAGGGTTGTATTGTTGAGTGATACATTGTTGAAGAAGAAGTTGAGTTTTGTACTAAATATTTGTCCAAAGTTTAATCCACTAGACTCCCCAAAAGTCATATTTTTGAAAAATAGGAAGGTAAAAGATTAATTGGAAATAAAATTGTGACAGTATCAAAAGATGAACGGGATCAAGTGCATCTGTATGTTCTGCATAATGACAGTGATGTTGAGCCATATGTTGAAATGCACAAGGATGTACTATGAGGGTTAAATCAGAATAGAAATGAAAATTGGATAGTACGGGAGCACAATCAAAGTTGTATACCATGGTTTAAGGATCATATTTTTTCAAAGCTTCGTTCAGACCCCGCTTCAATAATAGAGAGGTTGATATGTTTGGCATATGGTCCAAGTTTGCATGTGCTTTCTTATAGCGCATACCCAATTAATGGATACACATTTTATACAAAAGAACAAGATGATAAAAGTACTATGCAAAATAATGGTGTCACAGTGCTTGCTGAAGCAATGCACATTTCAAGTATGAAGGACCTAAACCCCAAATATGAAAATTTGTCATATTTTGGGGTTATCGAGCATATTTGGGTGTTTGATTACGAGAAGTTTCATATTTCTATCTTTGGTTGCAAGTGGGTAAGCAGTAGTGGCATACGAATGGATAAGTTAGGATTTTTGCAATTGGATCTTAATAGGGAGGGGTACAAAGATGAGCCTATTATTCTAGCCTCTCAAGCTAAACAAGTGTTCTATGTCACTGACCCAACGAGTACAAAATGGTCTATAGTGCTTTTATCTAACAAAGTGTTTGATGATAACGGTGTAGACCAAGGTGATATTGATGATGAGAATGAGTCATGTATTAGACGAAATGAGTCGTATATTATAAATGATCAAGATGAGAATATTATAGCGGATGAATCATATATATCAGAAATGATCATAATGAGGGAATTTGGATAAATCCATCCATCCGCATTGTTAAGAAACAAGTAATTCATGTTCCAACCAAGAAAAGAAAGAGATGTTAGTGAAAGAGGTAGCATATTAAAATGTTTATGTTTATGTTTGTATTTACGTTTAAGTTTATGTTTATGTTAATTTTTGGTATTGTCATTTTATATATATTTAAATGACTATGGAATTTTATATTGGGTTTATGTTTATGTTTATTACAGGTTAGATGGCTACTAACGAGGATCACCCACGTGATTAGTCTGTGCATGACGAAGATAAGGCCGTTAGTAAAAAGGAAATGGAATATAGACGAGGAATAACAATAATAAAGAGAATAATTTGGGATAGAGACCAAGGCATAAAGCATGATGTGCATTGGAGTCAAGAAGGCCAACTAATTGAGCCTAACAATTCAACGTTGACGAGTTATCTCGGTTCGGCGGTAAGGAGAGAAATTCCAATTACATGTGAAGATTGGAGAGCAAGAGTGTTGGATGGCGCTAAAGATAAAATATGGAGTGAGATACAGGTACCATATGTGATGTTATTTGTTTTTAATGACGACTATGTCTCTAAATTACTTATACTAACGCACTTTGTGTATGATTTTCGTAAAGGTCATTCATCATTGAGGATACCAGGAGAGATTATATTTTCTAATTGGCCGGGAAACTACATAAAGGGTTTAGATATTTCTTGTCAAACAAGTTTCTTAGGGATGCGGATAAAATTTTTGTTGAAGCAGAGCTTCCAACACTATGCCAAAAATAAGCTTTAGCAGCACACATACGAAAGCGCTTTTAGGAAAAAGCGCTGTTGTAGGTATTAAAAAAAATTCGCTTAAAAAAAGCGCTTTCAAAGGGTACCTTAAGAAAGCGCTTTTCAAAAGCGCTGCTAAAGGTCACCCTTAGAAAGCGCTTTTTGAGAAGCGCTGCTAAAGGGTGCCTTTCAGAGGGAACCTAAGAAAGCGCTTTTCAAAAGCGCTGCTAAAGGTCAGCCTTAGAAAGCGCTTTTCAAAAGCGCTGCTAAATCTGGCCTTTAGAAAGCGCTTTTAAAAGCGCTGCTATAGGGTATGCTACGAAAGCGCTTTTTTATGAAAAAACGCTGTTATACATGACCATTAGAAAGCGCTTTTAAAAGCGCTTTCGTAGGTTGTTTTATAATAAATTTTATTGTTTTTGATTAAGCTGTGTGTTCGTACTGTGGCTGTTGTGTTTCCTCCTCTCTTCCAACGTCCCAAACCCTTTCGTTCCTGTTCCTTCTTCGTCCAAAGCGCTTTTTCACGGTAGCTCTTTCCGTTCAATCGCCACCATCGTCAACTCTCATCGCTGCCGCACGACTCGTCCCTCTCTTCACAAGGTTCGTACTGTGGTTTTCGTTGATTATTATTTTCTTCTCATTTACAGTGTATTGGTTGTTGTTGTTGTTTGATGATTTTTGAAAGTTTCCTAAAACCCTTTGATGATTTTCTAATGATGTTATTAATATGTTATTTCATTTTGAGTTAATCTTGAATGAATTAAACTTGGTGTTGATTTTGATTGTTCCTAATTTTTTTTTAAAACATGTTGGCTTTGAATTTGTGATGACATTGTGTGATTTGGTTTTGAATGACGAACTCGGTTATGGTATTGTTGTTTATCGTGTGCACATGGAACACTTGTTTGAGATGAGTTTTATTGAGCATTATTAGGATTACATAGTTGTTTCCCGGAATTTGGTTCGGTTGATTTTAGCTTACTTTGAGCTTGATTTTTCATATCATGAACTTGAATTAGATAAGAGCTTGAATTTTTGGTTCCCGTTAGGTGATTATGTTTTAAAAGTTATTGAGCGTTTATTGAATAATCGGGCACGAAATATATTCTTGGAAGCCATAGTGACATACAAAATTCTTGTTTCATTGATTAGCAGGCACAGTTAGTGTTTCTCATTCACACTAGTTGGACGACAGGTAATTGTGATTCCCGGTTAAGGCTCTCTGTCTTTTGATGTTTGTTTAATGTGTTTTGGAAATTAATCGGTTTCTTTAACTTCTTCAGGACCTTCCGATTCAGAGCAACATATCTCACCGGAGAACTCAAACGTGTCAAATCGTCAGAAAACAAGAGAACCGTCAGGTGATTGTTTCTTCTTTTCAATCTATACAAAATATTTTGTCCTTTTTGTTTATTACAAAATTTCGTATCAGAAAACATATCTTAGACTAAAATGAGGTCATGCCATATATAAGAAATAAATGAA